TTGTAGAATTAACAACAAACTGAGATATGTTTCATAAAAAAGTACAGAGGGTGCCACAAACATTTATACACATTTTAAGAAAGGGGAAAAACTATTAATTGTAATACTCTATATACTGTTAACAAAAGATGAATACAAGTCACGTTTGACTTCTGCAATACAAGAGGTGCTCAAAGTGGTTACCATCAGTATCCAGACACTTCTGATTATGGTGAACTACTGCTTGAACATAGATAATATCTCTTAAAATGTGTACATATATATTGGCACCACCGGTATAAAACTGTTTCACATATAATATGTTGTGTAGAAGAAAGGGAATTAAGTAATTATATATATATATATATATATATATATATATATATATATATATATATATATTTGGCACCCCTGGTATTTAGTTAGTACGCTTTCAGTGCAAGCCGCAGAACCTAACTCAAAATGGCTTAAGAAGTAAGAAATTTTATCTTCTCATATAATAGGCTTCAGACTTGGTTGGTTACAGAAGTTCAACAGGGTCAGTAAAAACCAATATCATTTCAATTGCTTAGTTCTGCCCTCCTTGGGCTAGTAGGCTGCTTCATCCTCAGGCTAGTAGCAAAATGGTTATAGAGATTCTAGGTATCATATCCATAAACAACAATTTCTAAAAGAAGAAAGATGTCTCTTCCTGTGCTTCTATTTTTGGAGAGAGGAAACTTTCTCCAAAAACCTCTAGCAGGCTTCTTTCACATCTTTTTGACCAGAAATTGGGTCATATTCTCGAACGAATCACTAGTGATTACCCTTGAACTAACCATGTCCATGCCTGAATCTGGAATGGTGTTGGCTTCCTTGAAGTATTGTATTGGGGTGGGATTCTGTTAGAAGGAAGAAGGAGGTGATGAATGCTAGGTAGGCAATCAGCAGTGTCCACTCTGGAAAGTAATTTGGAGAACCATAGCTCTTTTCAAAGTCTTTGTCTTTGTGCTTGTAAATAAAAAGAATTGGCAAGTTAATTTTTTTCTTTTTCAAAACTAAAATCTAGTGAGAAACCCATTTTCATTTTCTGAATTGGAATTTACAGGGTCACATGTTGGTATAGAAAGTTAAATATAAGAGGCCTTTTCCTGTCTTCCTTGTCAGTTGCTTACTAGAAGAAGAGGATGCTAACTCCTCTGGTTGACAGTTTCCATATTTGAGGCATGTAGGTGTTAGAATAGAGTATATCAGTATATCAAGTAAGTGAGTGTGAGAAGGCATTTTGCAAAACTATCAAACTCCAAAGTTTAATAAATTAAGTGATAAGCTGGGGAACCTGTGAAATGATTTATGATTTTAAAGACTAGACTTAAAAATTAGGACATGACAGGGGCCGGCCGAGTGGCTCAGTTGGTTAAGAGCGTGAGCTCTGAGCAACAGGAACGCCAGTTTGATTCCCACATGGGCCAGTGAGTTGCTGCTGAGCTACCAACAGGTGGCAGGATGGCTCATCTGGTGAGAGCTCATGCTCCTAACAACAAGGTTGCCAGTTGGACTCCCGCATGGGATGGTGGGCTGTGCCCACCTACATCTAAGATTGAACACAGCACCTTGAGCTGAGTGGTTATGAGCTGCCGCCAGGCGGCCATATGGTGAATGGACTTGGAGCTGAGCTTGCTGTGCTCTCCACAACTAAGACTGAAGGACAACTTGGCTGTTCCCCTTTCCCGATTCCCCAATAAAATCTTTAAAAAAAAAAATTAGGATACTAAAATAACCCATAGATCATGTGTCTTTCAATTAAAATATACTATGTAACTAAGTATTGACTTTTCCAGTAGTATGTTGGAAATCTAGAGGCAGTATGGTGGAGTAGTTAAGAGAAGGGGCTCTGGAATCAGACTGCCTGGGTTCAGATTGTGCCTCTTCCATTTCCTAACATGTGTCCATGGGCAATTGACTTAACTTTTCTGTTTTGGTTTCCTCACCTAAAAAATGGGGATAATCCTCAATAGGATTGTTGTGGGGATTTTGTAAATTAATAACTGTAAAGCACTTAAGATGGTGATTGGAACATACTAAGCACCCATAAATGTTTTTATTTGTTGCTGTTGTTCATGTATTTCAATAAATATTCGATTGTCAGACACTGTTCTAGGTATAGCAGTGAACAGAATAGCAAAACTCCTTGAATTCATGGAGCATACATTTTTAAGGGAGGGGAGAAAGCAGACAATAAACTAATTCCTAAGTAAAATACACAGTGATGGTAATAAATGATATGGAGAAAAAGTAGAGGAAAAAATAGAGAGTGCTGGTTGGGTGGAGGAACTGCTATTTTAAATAGGAGTGCAAGGAAGCCTTGACCTAAGGAAGTGAGGGAATAAGCCAGGTAGATATATGGGAGGTGTCAGGGCAGGCAGGGGTGTGGGCTGGGTAGAGGGAATACCAGATGACTTACTCTGAGGCAGAAACATTTCTGTCATGTATTTGAGGATCATCTTGGAGGTCAGTGTGGCTGGAGTGGAATGAGGGGAAAGTAGTAAGAAATGAAGACAAATAATGGTATGGGTGGTGGGGAAAACTGTGTAACAACTTTGGCTTTTAAAACTTGAATGAGATGAGAAGCCATGCAAGTGTATTGAGCAGTGATATATTATGATTTCTGGTTTGAAAAGATCATTCAGGCTGCTGGTGGAGAGTAGGAAAAGATGGATGTGGAGAAAATGGTTAGGCTATTGCAGTAAATGAGCTGAGGGTGCAGCTTGGACAAAGGCGGAAGCTGCGAAGGTGGTGAAAGTGGTTGGATTCTGAATATTATTACTGCCAGTTATATAGCATGTCGTTTCTAAGCCGACTTAGTCACTTTATTGTCTAATTTCTTAGCTTTATATTTCTCTATATGCTTTAGTAATTAAAAGGTTTAACTTTTAAAATAATGCCCAAACTATTTTATACATTTTTGAAATATTTTTCTCTTTTTTGAAGTGTTATAATTTCTGATCTCTGACATTTGGGTGCAAAGCAGCATAATATGTGGCCTTAGTTATTTGATGAAGGCTTACTCATTCGTTACTTCTACAAACATTACCGTATAAATCTAGACTGCACTCAATTTCCTTTTCAAAGTTACTTTTGAAAGTAAATTAATCTTAAAATTCTTAGTTTCTCTATGGTGGGCTATGAAGGGGAGAAGAAGTTAAGGAGAAGGAAGCCATGACATACATGTTTTATTTTACTTCATGTGTTAAAGTTGTTGGTGTTTTAGAATAATTATATTTATGTACTTTTGCTTGTTAGTGTAATGCTTGAGTTCTTGAATAGAGACATTGCTGTGAAATAGGGAAGTGTTGCTCACTGTTTAAGAGCTCTACTGTCAGGTTGCTTGGATTTCCAGTTCTAGCCCGGTCTACTTCTAGAATCTGACCTTGGAGTTTCCTCATCTGTAGGGGAGAGAGAAGAATGTTAACCCCATTGCAGGGTTATTGTGAGAATTATATGAGTTAGTACGTGTAAGACACTTAGAGCAGATATCTATTGTTATTGTTATTATTTTCATTATTAAGCTGGGATGCTTGTGACATATCTCCTGACTTCCATGCAGAGGAAGCACCAGCCTAAAAGTTAAATTAAATTGAAAAGCAATTTAAATCTTTATTCCAGCCTCTCAAAAATGCTAAAGGGTATTATTACATTTATACCATACTGCAATACCACTTAAATGCAGATTTTTCCATTTTCGATCAGTATCTTTGCATGGTTAAATCCAAACCTCCTCCTCTTCCAAACTCTCTCATAACAACTTGTACAGTCTCATCTTCTTGTTTCCTTCCTTCCCTTCTCAAACTTACTAGTTTCTCTTCTAGGAGTACCTTTTTCCCTTTAAATTTAAACTCTCTCTTTTGCCTATTTCATTACACTGATCTGTATAATAAGGGCTAGGAGCCAAGAGAGTAAAGAAAAAAAGCTATGAATACTCATACAGCAACATTTTTTTGGTCATACTTAGCTGCCATAGAGGGTATAACATATTTTGGCTTTTAGAAAGAAACCTGCTTAGTTTTAAAATGACAATCAGGTGGTTTAGACCTGTTGCAGGACATTAGTTTAGGACTTGGGGTTCAGTCTTTCTTCTAGTAGTCATGTACCGTAAGAGCAGCTGTCACATCTGTCTGACTGGGACTGACCTCTCCTTTGATTCCTAGGGATCAACCAAGGGCATTTAGAGTAGAGTTGCCAGATAAAATCCATAGAATATGTCTCGTGCAATATTTGGGACATACTAAAAAATTATTCATTGTTTATCTGATATTTAAATCTGAGTGTTCAGAATTTTTATCTGCTAAATATGCCAACCCTAATTTAGAGAGAGGCTAGCCAGTACTGTTGGGTTGTTGGAAAAATCATGACGTATTTTTTCTATGTTTTTCATTGCAAAAATGCGTCATGACTTTTCCGATAACCCAATAGATAGTATTTCCTAGTATTCCCTATGGTGTTTAGAGATGGATATGTAACTTGATGGAGTGGATATCAGGATACCTTCAGTTTCAATAACAAAAAGTCCAACTCAGATTGGTTTAAACAAAGAATTTATAAGTTCATGTAATTCAAAAATCCAAAGAGAATGAGGGCCCCTGGCATGGTTTCATTAAGACTGTCAGGCTTTGGTCCTGTTTTGCATTTCTCTCGGCTCTCCTCTATATCAGTTTTTTTCCTCAGGCTGGCTTCCCTGATAGTGCAAGATGACTGCTTTTGGCTCCTAGGACTACATGTTTTCTCATTTCTGGGGGAGAAATAGGATTCTTTTCACAAATATAACACAAAAATCCTGAGCTTGACAATAGACTGTTACTGTGTTCCAAAGGATCACTGTCTTTAAATCTGGATTCCTCGAACTATTAATTGTAGCTTTCTCTGTCTAGACCAGTGGCTCTTAAACTTGAGTGTTCATCAGAACCACGTGAAGGACGTGTTAAAGCACAGATTGCTGGGCCGGCCGAGTGGCACGTTGGTTAAGAGCTGGCTTGGGACGCCAGCTCTGAGCAGCAGGACCCCGGTTTGGATCCCACATGAGGGCCAGTGACACTGCCCTCTACAGCTAAGATGGTGAGCAGCAGCTGGACCTGGAGCTGGGCTGCCATAAGTTGCCAGCGATGGCGTAGGCTGCAGCCCCTGCTGCAGTGGGCTGCCATAAGCTACCGTGTGTGGCCGGCAGCCAGCATGAGTGGCCAGCAGCCGGTGTGAGCTGCCAAGAGCCACTGTGAGTGGCTGTCCAGAGGCCGGCGACCGATCTGCCTCCCCCGGGAAGAGAGCAATGATCACAATACCAACATGGGCCAGTGAAGCGACATCCTCCACAACTAGACTGAAGAACAAAAGGACAGCAACTTGTCTGTTCCCCTTCCCCCAATTCCCTAATAAAACCTTTAAAAAAAAAAAAAGCAGAGATTGCTAGGGCCTACCCCCAGAGTCTCTGAGTCAGCAGATTTGCGGGGGAGGGGGGGGTAGGTTCTAAGAACTTGTATTTATAACAAGTTTCCAGATGTTACTGATTTGGCTGGTCTGCAAACCACATTTTGAGAATCATTACTGTGTCAAATCAGGACCTTTTCCTGGAGCTGGGGAAGGGGTCAGTCCCACATAAACAAACTCCTTACCAGCATGGAGAAGGAACAAAATAATTACAGTGACCACTAAAAAGAGGACTGCTATTGTTTCGCGTATCCAGCTTCCCTTCTCTTTTATTTAGGTAACAGCTTCTTGATTTTTCTCTTGGAACCACTCGTTCCCCATTTGTAATGTGGTTGGGGTAGAATTGATCTAACTCATCCCCTTTAAGGGTGAGCACATGACCCAAGCCTGGCCAATAAGGTCACTGCATTCGCCTGGCAACAGTGAATAGCCAAGGAGTTATAGGGCAGTGATCTTTATAAAGTAATCAATGTATATTACTATACATTACTATTTACTGTCCTGTCTAGTGATATTAAGATGGCATGATCCCTCAAAGAGCTCAGACTGTAATTAAGGAATACTCACATGTAAACAAATGCATATAGTACTTCTCTTTTTAACTTATGCACTTTCTCCTGGCTATCATCTAATATATGTTCCATTATGTACTGTATTACCTACAGCCTTTATAATCCTCACCACACTTATTATCAGTTGTTTAGTGTCTTTAGTCTTTATTGGATTACATATTCCATCAGGATAAGGACTGAGTCCATAATTAACTGCTGGATTTCCAATATTTAGCACTGTCTCTGGCAGAGGTGCTCAATAAATATTGGTTGAATGAATATTTTTAGTAATAGAAAGGTGTATAAGCAGAAGAAGGAATGATTGGTTTACTGGTGGGGTAGTGGAGAGGTAACAGCCTGGGTGAATGCACAAAATTGTTAAGGCACCTTGGTGTATTTTGGAAACTATAAGTAATTCAGTTTTGTTGAAACATAATGTGTGTGGTGGAAAGTGGTGGTGGATGAGTCTGGAGAGGTAGGAGAGGACCAAATCATGAAAGGCCCTGAGCGCTACACTTAGAGGTTGGATTTTAACCTGTGACATTTGGGAAGCCACTGACTAGATTCAAATAGGGACAAGATTTATTGGCTGCAAAGTGAAAAATAGATGGAAGGAGAGCAAGATTAAAGAAGGGAAACTGGTTAGGAAACTGTTTCAGTAGAGATTAAAGATATTATGAAGTTCTAAGGTTAAAACAAATATGGATGGGGGGACCCTGTGGACAGAATTTAGGTGAACTCATGGAGATTTCCACTATAAATTTAATTTTAACTACAGAGACATTGTATTAGCCAATCTGAACTACTATTCATAGTTCTACATCTGTACCCATTTAATATTTGTAACCACAGATTATATTTTTGTTTCATCTTCTAATCATCAAAAAAAAAAAGGAAATGTGCCCCCCCCACCAAAAAAAAAAAAAAGCCTGAGGTAAGGTAGTAGCAGTGACAATGAATAGGGGATTTTGTTAAAAAGTAGAATTGATGGGACTTAGAGACTATCCTGAGAAAAATAAAAGAATCTAGAGTGAATTTTAGTGTTCTGGCTTGGGAGATGGTTGTACTATTATATGCCAAGGGGCACAATTTAAGGAGAAAGGACAGATTTGGATTATATGGCTTCTTAAATCAAAATGAGGCAGAGATGAAATGGCCCAGGAGGGAGGGGTTCTTTTTCTCTTAGGCTTTACTGGAGGAGGAAAGGGGAGTGGCTCCTACTGAGTCCAGGTTTGGAACCTAGAGCAGATGGTAGGTAGTAAATCAGATACCACTGAGTTCCTAAAGGTGTGGGAGAGATTGCAGTGGGACCTTGACTGCTCCCAGGGTATTACTTGCTAAGGTCATATCAAATTTCCCGGGGTATTTATTAGAAGAGAAAAAAAAGCCCTGACAATCCAATAGAAAAATGGGCAAAAGATATGAAAAAGCGTTTCATAAAAGAGAATAATCAAATGGCCAACATATGAAAAGCTGATCAATTTCATTAGGAATAAGGAAAATGCAAATGAATTTAAACCACAGTGATACTATTACACACTTATTGCAGATGTAGAGTAACTCTCATATACTGTTAAGAGGGAAATAGTTTGGCACTCTCTAGAAGGGGTGAGATACACGTTCTAGTAACCAGAATTCTGAATCCTAAATATACCCTACAGAAATGTACTGATACAAAAACAGGGCGTATGTGAAAAAATGTTCACAGCAGCATTGTCCATTAATAAGCAAACAACTACTCAAATACCTATAGAAAGAAATACAGACTGTCAACACCTTGACTTTAGGACTTTTGATGTCTGGAACTGTAAGATAATAAATTTGTGTGTGTTTTTTTTTTTTTTAAGATTTTTATTGGGGAATTACGGGATGGGAACAGCACTGGGGAATTGGGGGAAGGGGAACAGACAAGTTGCTGTCCTTTTGTTCTTCAGTCTAGTTGTGGAGAACGTCGCTTCACTGGCCCAGTTGGCACCATCATTGCTCTGTTCCCGGGTGAGGCAAATCAGTCGCCAGCTTCTGGACGGCCGCTCATAGCAGCTGCTGGCCGCTCATGCTGGCTGCTGGCTACTCACAGTAGCCCATGGCAACCCATTGCAGCTGGGGCTGCAGCCCATGGCGTCTCCGGTAACTAATGGCAGCCCAGCTCCAGGCTGAGCCGTTGCTCAGCATCTCAGCTGTAGAGGGCAGTGTCACCTGCCCTCATATGTGGGATCCGAACCGGGGCCCTCTGGTGTCCCAAGCCAGCTGTTAACGCGCCACTCGGCCGGCCCAAATTTGTGTTGTTTTAAGCCACTAATTTATGATAATTGGTTATGGTAGGAATAGGAAACTAAGGCAGAGTGTCTATCAATGCCTTAGAGTAAAAGGCAGCTCCAACTTTATCTTTCAGAAGATTAATTTTTTTTCTCAAACTTTAAGTTATCTACTCATAAATCTTTTCTTTTTAAATATACTTTTAACATTGTTTTTGCTATTTAATAACAATTGTAGGGCAAAAAGTGTCTATAATCCCATCATCAAATCAGTGTTTTCATTTGATCATATTCTAGTTCTTTTCTTTTACCACATTCTATTTTTACATATTTGTAGCAACATCAAGGAATGGATTTTACAATCTACATTTTTACTAGTAACACTCCATGAGGTTTTTTTTTCATTTTGCTTAATTTTTTTGTGTGAGATCCTCTTACCCCACTCCTTTCCAACCTCAGGTAAGCATCCTTTGCTGCTCCTGCAACATTTCAAAAATACTCCCACCTTGAGGTCTTTGTAATTGCTGTTCACTCTACCTGTAATACCCTTCATTCAGCCATCCTCCCAGCTCACTCCTTTACTTCCTTCAGGTCACTGCTCAAAAGGTCACCGTAAGAGAATATATTTGTAATACATGTAATGGACAAGGGATTGGAATGTGGACGTCTTTGGAGGGCCATTGCTCTATCACAGACTCTAAATTTGAAAATAAAATTTTTACTGACTTTCTTAGGGTTTGATGAATGAGGAATGAGATAAAAGAGAGAGGGCCTTTACTATCAGAGAATGAGCTTGGTGAAAGTTTTAATTTTGAATATTCTACATCTGCCTTAGGGGGCTACCTTAGAGTTAGCCTTATACATGATGGGAGGGGTGCCTGAAAGACCACTGGAAACTTGTAAGTCATGTCTTCATATAGTTGCTGCCTTGAGAGGGAAGAGGATTGTGCTTTGTTAGAAGACTGATTTGAATTTGGCCTGCTTAGAGGCCAGCTGAGTGGCTCAGTTGGTTAAGAGCTTGCTCAAGAGTTTGAGCTCTGAGCAACAGCAGTTTGATTCCCGGCCTGAGCTGAGCAGCTGCTGAGCTGCCAACAGGTGGCAGGATGGCTCAGCTTAAAAAAAAGAACTTGAATTTGGCCTGCTTAATACTGTGTGACATTGAACAGTCCTCATCTATAAAATCGGAGTAGTAATACTTAATTTGCAAAGATTTTTATAAGGATTATAAAATATAAAATATATACAGAGGGTACCAAAAATGTATACACATTTTAAGAAAGGAAAAAACTGTATTAAATTGTAATACGTACTCAATATATACCGATAACAAAAGATGAATACAAGTCACATTTGACTTCTGCAATTACAAGAGGTGTTCAAAATGGCTACCATCCATGTAATTTTGATAATAGTTTTTTCCTTGCTTAAAAGATGTATACATTTTTTTTGCCCCCCCACCCCGTGTGTGTGTGTGTGTGTGTGTGTGTGTGTGTGTGTGTGTGTGTGTACACACACATAATGAAATAATACTTAGCTTAGCATCTGGCATATAGTAGGAACTCACTTTTCTTTTTTTAAGATTTTTATTAAAATATAGCTAACTTACAATATTAGTTTCAGGTGTATATTATAGTTATTCAACAGGAGGTACTCATTTTTCTTGAAGGTCAATGTTTTTGTGATACAGTGGTAGGGAAATGTTAGAGAGGTTAAGTTAAGGTGAGGGGCTTGTGCTAGAAGTTTTGCTAGAGGCAACTGCACACCTCACTTGCTAGAAGCTACCTGACTAGTGTGTGTTTGGTTCTAAGATCAGGATGGGTAAAATTTGGGGATAAGACATGCAATGCGTTAATATCTGTAGCTAGTATGGTTGATCATCATTCTTTTTTCTATTACACATTTTACCTTTTTCTATGAGAACTTTCAAAAACTTGTTTCTGTCTCCAGGCTGACTTTTTTTTTTGCTTTTTCTGCCTTCAGTAAAATTCCACTGCTCTTCTTTCAGCATAATTATTCTAGGATCTTCACTTCCTCTCTATGGTAAGCTTAAATGCTGATCATCTCATGCATTAATTCAACAAATTTTTATCGAGTGCCTTCTATCTGTGAGACAATCAGCACTGGAGCTACAATAAGAAAATATGTGTTCTTAAGGAGCTCACAGTTTTAGTACAAAGACAGGTCAACAGCTAAACTATAATGAATAAGCTTTATATTAGAAGACTGAGTAAAGAGCTCTGTGGAATCAAAGAGGAGGTAGTGCTCAACTAGGCCTAAAAATGTGAGAAAGGGTGTCATGGAAAAAACTATGCATGATCTGAGTCTTAAAAAAAAAAATGTAGCTGGATAAGGGAGTGTGGTGAGGGGGTGGGAGAGAAGGAGGAATGGGCATTCCGTGAGGTGCCGGGAACCTGTACAAAGCATGAGAAAGCATTGTGTGTTGGGATGAGCTTTGGGTGTTTTGGTGTGGCTAGGGTGAAAGTTGGCTGTGGGAAAGTAATAGGAAAATGAACTTAGAAGAGTAAGCAGGGACCAGACCATGAAGGGCCTTATATACCATACTGAAGAGTTTGGATTTCATTTTATAGGTAGTGGGAAACTCTTGAAACATAATATGCTAAACCAATATGATTAGATTCAAGACTCAAAAGCAGCAGGGAAAGTAGAAAAAGAACAAGGAGATTGGTCCCTGGGAAGCCCAGGGAGAGATTTTCAGAAGGAAAAAATGGCTAACAGTGTAAAACCTAAAGTGATTCTGTGAAATAAAGATAGAAAAGTTTCTGCTGGACTTTGTTATTGAGAAGACATTAATAAGACATACATTTAGTGAATGGGGTAGAAATCCAAATTACAATAGGTTGAAGAGTAAATGGAAAGTGAGAAAATACACTACAAGTATAGGCCACTCTTAGAAAACATGCTGTGAAGCATAAGTAAGAGGTAGCTAGAGAGGAGACCTGAGAAACAGATTTTTTTTTTAAAGGTAAAAGAATTGAACATGTATATGTTTTGGTAGAGATGATAAAGTAGAGATAAAGTTGAATATATGGATGAGTGTGTGTGATTTGATGAAACAAGTTGTTGAGTTTGGAGGTGAAAAGGGATTATCACCCAGGGAAGGAGGAGAGATACCTTTGTCTAACACTTAGAAGGAGGAAGCTAAGATGGGTTTGAAGAAGAATGTAGGTTGGAAAATTGGGCGAGGTCACATTTCTTTTTTTCTGATAGAGGACAATTGTGAGAGAAGAGGTATATAGAGTGTTGGGCCTGAGATTTGGAGTAGCCGTTGGTCACGGTGTGGGATGGAAAAGGTGACTGTTCAGAGGCATATAGATGAATTACTAACAGGATAGTTAATCTCAGTTAAGATAAGAGACATAAATTTGTGGTGGCACAAATTCCCAGCTTTTTGTGATTTCTTCTGCAGAACTCAGCAGTTGTGATATGGGAACAGAGGAAGCAGGTGGTTGGATTGATTCTCCATGATTGAGAGATTTATGGGCTGTTGTGGCAAAGAAGAACAAGGAGCTTAGTGGAGATATTGACAAGAGAATGGTTGATGCCCAACATGGAGGGAATAGTTAAGTAAATTATGACACAGTCATATCAAAAACTATTTTGCAGCTAATAAAATTTATGTTTATAAAGTGCCTATTTTATAATGTTAAGGTAATAAAAGTGCTGTATGTTGTACAAAGGTTTAGTAATGATCAACTGTAATATTCTAGGCATAATGATGAAAAAATACTCTCAAAACCAAAGAGTATTGGTCCCCCTATTTGCACATAGATAATAATTTGACAGGGATTATTATCTTCACTTTACAGGTGAAGAAAATGAAATTAGCAAAGGTGACTTGTTCAGTCATAAATTTTGTAAATGGCAGAGAGATAACTATTATATGTAGTACTTATTCAATAGTTACTGTGTCAGGCATTGTTTTATATATGCAGTCTTAATATTTTCCTCACATATTTCTTTAATTTTCATCTTTCAGTTAAGAAAACAGATTCAGAGGAGAATAATAATATGAGCAACACATAGCTAAGTATGAAAGAGTGATACCAACAAGTGCTTTAGGAGTTCAGAAGGCGGTGTTGTGAGAAGAAAGACTTTGGAGATGATGATATTTGAACTTTGACTATGAAGGGTGGGTAGGATAGCCTTTCTTGTTGTTGTTCTCTTTGATTTACTTTTTCCACATTAAAAAAAAAGGTTCTCTATAAGAGTCTAGTATATCATGTTTCTAGAGCCTTTTGCTTGGATAAGAAAAAGTATTATTCTTGCTTTTTTTTTTTAAAGATTTTTATTGGGGAATTGGGGGATGGGAACAGACAAGTTGCTGTCGTTTTGTTCTTCAGTCTAGTTGTGGAGGACGTTGCTTCACTGGCCCAAGTAGGTACCATCATTGTGCTCTTCCTGGGCTAGGCAGATCAGTCGCCGGCTTCCAGACAGCTGATCACAGCGGCTGCTGGCCGCTCACGCTGGTTGCTGGCTACACACAGTAGCCCATGGCAACCCACTGCAGCAGGGGCTGCAGACTACGCCTTCGCCGGCGACCCAGCTCCAGTTTGAGCTGTTGTTCAGCATCTTAGCTGTAGAGGGTAGTGTAACTGGCCCTCATATGTGGGATCCGAACTGGGGTCCTCTGGCATTCCAAGCCAGCTCTTAATTAACTGAGCCACTCGGCCAGCTCTATTCTTGCTTATTTTTAATGAAAAGACCAAGGCTATCGTAGATGTCATAAAGGGACCCAATATCATTTCCTGATCTCTAGTGCATCACATTTGACACTGCTTTAGAAGGAATGGAAGAAATAATGGCTTCCAATGAAATTTGCAAGTTGAATCATGCACTCCTTGGTAGGCCTTCTAGAATAGGTTTCAAAGGTAATTACAAAGTTGTGTGTCTGTCTATCCATCTATCCATCCGTCTTTTTCTGTCTTACACAGTCATTTATATTTGAGTATTATTTTTTACTATGGTTAATGGAAGAAAACACTTCATTAGAAACAATGATTAAAAGGCCACTGAAACCAAGGGTTTAGCTCTTTCCTGCTGAGCTGAAATGGGCAAGAATAAGGACTTTTTTTAGTATTGTATAGTAGTTCTGTCCCCCCACCTCCTTATTCATGGTTTTGCTTTCCAAGGTTTCAGCTACCCATGGTCAACTATGGTCCAAAATATTAAATGGAAAATTCCAGAAATAAATAATGCGTAAGTTTTAAATTTTGCAGTGTTCTGAGTAGCGTGGTGAAATCTTACATTGTCTCACTTTGTCCTGCCCAGGACGGGAATCATCCCTTTGTCTAGCTTAGCTATGCTGTGTATGCTATCCACTCGTTAGTCATTTAGTAGCCATCTCAGTTTTCATATCAACTGTCATGGTATCATAGTGCTTGTGTTCAAGTAACCCTTATAGTATGCTAACACTATGTCATAATGCCTATGTCATTTACTTCACTTCTCTTATTAGGTAGGCATTATATCATATCATCACAAGAAGAAGGGTTGAGGAAATTCCCTTCAATTCCTAGTTTGTTCAGTGTTTTTTATCATGAAATGGTATTTGATTTTGTCAGATGTTTTTTCTTCATCTATTGTGATGATCAAAACTTTATTAATATGGTGTATTACATTGATTTTTGTTTGTTGAACCAACCTTGCATTCCTGGACTAAATCTCACTTGGTCATGATGTAAAATCCTTTTTATATGTTGCCGGAGTCGATTTGCTAGTGTTGAGGATTTTGGTTCCTAAGAGGTATTGTTCTGTAGTTTTCTTCTCTTTTGTTGTCTTTTTCTGGTATTGGTATCAGGGTTACAATGAGTTGAAATGTGTTTCCTCCTCTGTTTTGCTACACTCCCCACCTGCACATCTAATTTTAGCTTTCTTCAGTTTTGATATTCACTTAAAAAAATATTAATGCTATTTTTTTGGTTCTGGTTAGTCTTTTTATGAACACCCAGAAATACATTGTGGTCTTCATAATTGCAGTTAGCTTACCAGATGGAAACATGACTCAGATCCAGTAAAGTTTTAATGAGATTTCTGGTATTCCAGTGAAATCTGCTTAGGATATTATCTCTCTTGGATGGCCAAATACAAGGGCACATAAAAATTAGAGATAGGAGGGACTATTTAGATTTAATCAAATGTTTTGTAGGTAAGCAGATAAGAGGGTTTCAGAGAATTGTCCAAAGTTATATTGGTTGGCTATATGCGAGCCAGTTTTTGTTTTAGATCAGAAGCTTTCATTCACCAATGATTAGTAATCTGTAAAAATGATAGGTTTAAAAAATTGTTTCAATTCTGTCTATGTGTTTGTGAGCTAAAACTTATTTTCCTTAATCATCCCATTCTCTAACGAGAAGTCTTTGAAAATATAATGAATTAATTGCTATTAGGAGGAAATTATTATTATTAGAATTTTTGGAATCTTCAAAGTAGTTAACTTTAACAAGAAATTGCTGTTTGCCTAAATTATATCATATGAATGGGCACAAAAAGACAGTTTCAAAATAAATTGAAATCTGAAGGAAATCTGTCTATAGCTTGGGAAAAACACAGAGGGAGGGAAAATGACGTTACAATTTCAACCTAAATGTTTTAGCTTTTTATTAGTTAATTAAATGTTATGTCTCCTAATTGTCAAAACCATTGTTTATTTTGGTTGAGACAGTTTTTTAGAAAAATACTTTTTCTTTTTAATTAAAATTTATGGAGGTGGAAATGGTCAACAAAACTACATAGGTTTCAAGTGTACAATTCTATGATACATCATCTATATATTGTATTATGTGTTCACCACCCAGAGTCAGTTCTCCTTCCATCACCATATATTAGAAAAACATTTTCAAGGAAAAAATTAGCAGTATAATTTAAAGAAAATATCATATATATTTCCAGAGATAAGATCATACTTCAATTTTGTTGAGCCAAGAAGCTCAAGTAACACTACCTGCTGGAAACTGCAGTTGTCTGTCTCATCATCAGTAATACACGGCCCAAATTCTGTAATGTGATTGGCTGTTGTACTGTTTTCATTCAGAGATTAGTTTTGCCTACAACAACTGATTTGGGATTGGGATTTAGCTCACAAAGCCAGTTGGTTGTTAGGACATAGGAAAGGATTAGTGTTACTAATGAGCATGCTACAGATAAATCATTTCAGTGGGGAAAATAGTATTTGTCCATGCGTGAGCAAAATTGTTCTTTAATTCAATGCTGCATGCCAAATAGTTGGTGAAGTCTGGATTTGAATGTGGCAGCTCACTGATGCTGAGGGGAAGTTTTGTTTAATCATTGTCTTTTAAAAAGAAGTTGGTTAAAGCTGACAATTGAAATTTTGTTTTTGTTTCTCTCCTCTTGTTTCCATAATTTTATTTTTAGGGTTTCAAAAAGCTAAGGATTTTATTAAAAAAAATTTTTTTAAAGATTTTATTGGGGAATTGGGGAAGGGGAACAGCCAATTTGTTGTCCTTCAGTCGTAGTTGTGGAGGGCACAGCTAGCTCAGCTCCAAGTCCAGTCGCCATCCAGCAGCCCATCAGCAGCTGTCGGCCACTCAGTTCAAGGTGCCATGTTCAATCTTAGTTACAGATGGGCATAGCCACCATCCCATGCAGGAGTCGAACTGGTAGTCTTGTTGTTAGGAGCACATGCTCTCACCAGCTGAGCCATCCTGCCATCTATTGGCTGCTCAGCAGCAGCTCACTGGCTCATGTGGGAATCAAACCAGCGACCCTGTTGCTCAGAGCTCGCGCTCTTAACCAGCTGAGCCACTCAGCCAGCCCTTAAATTTTTTTCTTTCCCCAGAAGATAATTGTTTTTTCCGTCTAGATAGCCTGATCATCCAGTCATTTTTTTCTAGGCATTTTTGTATATCTAAGATTATATGAAAACATCTAGGATAATTCTAATTCTTTTTAATTTTTATTCCTCTAAAATAAAATAGATTTGTGAGTTTAGGAAATATATTTTAATAAAATTGTTCAGTTTTATTATTTTTGTATTTAAAACCTTGTATAATTCCTGGTTACTCACAAATATTTTTTCTTGGTCCCTGTTCCTTAGCAGTGGTTAGTAAAAGCTGGTTTAATGTTTTCAGAAATTCAGAATACCTTTCTACTAATATGGTCAGAGTACCATGCTTAAAACTTTCTATTTAGATTGTCAGAATTTATCATCTGATTAAATATTTCAGGTTTGTCATGTGTCTTTGATAAATCATTTACCTTTGATCACATTTAACAGGATAATCTCTTTATAAACTTTGTATTTAAACACAATACCCTCAATACCATATAGCAAGGTTTACATGAATGCAACACTTTTTTTTTTTAAAGATTTTATTGGGGGAGGGGAACAGTGTTGGGGAATTGGGGAAGGGGAACAGACAACTTGCTGTCTTTTTGTTCTTCAGTCTAGTTGTGGAAGACATCGCTTCACTAGCCCATGTTGGTTGGTATCATTGCGCTGCAGATAGGTTGCTGGCCAGTGGACGGCTGCTCACAGCAGCCCTTGGCAGCTTATGCAGGCTGCCGGCAGCTCACGGTAGCTTACGGCACCCCACTGCAGCTCCACTGCAGCCTACGCCGTTGCCGGCAACTCATGGCAGCCCAGCTCCAGGTTGAGCTGTTGTTCACCATCTTAGCTCTAGAGGGCGCAGAGTCACTGGCCCTAATGTGGGATCCGAACCGGGGCCCTGCTGCTCAGAGCTGGTGTCCCAAGCCAACTCTTAACCAACGCGCCACTCAGCTGGCCAGAAACACTTTTCTTAAACTGAGAATTTCTATGTCAAATATTTCTTTTTCAATTTGGGAGATATTTATTTACTTTCCCATATCACCAACCATGGATGTGAATAGCTAAATTTTGTATCTCCTGAGGAAAACAGCACTAATGAGTGACTTACAGTATATGGAGAACTTCAATCTTTGGTCACAGCATTAAGAGCTCCTGGTTTGGTCCAACAAGCTCTTTTTGAAATGACCTATATGTCAAGGATATTTGTAGAAGATAAGATTTACTATTAGGATGGTCAGTATTAAGAATTTTTTTTAAATGGAAGAAGTTGAGAAAGAAAGGGAGATGTTAAGAGAGCATTGCAAATTCCTTTATTTCTTTTCAGTTAATTGATCAGAACCAGTAACTAAATTTAGCTTAATGAGCTAACTGCGAAAAGGAAACAGGACTTAGTAGTAGTTTCTTTATTTCTGACTTTTCTTTATGAAATTAAAGATAATTTCTGATCTTCTAGTTTACCATTTCTACTTATACTAAACTACCAGTAACTAAGCCAAAAGTGTGAGGGGCTTTTTTTCTTAATAAGGAGATGACTGCTTTTATGTTTGTCATTTTGGGTCTGCATATGTTACTTAGGTCTGGTTTAGTGATAACTGAAATACCTGTGAACTAATATTTTTGGTAGCTACTATGTCACCTTTGCTGAGTGCAAGGGAGGATCCCCATCTTCATAGGTTCAGTTACTGGGGCCTGTAAATTAAACTAACAAATACCAGGTTAACAGGACAAAAGGTTTATTACTCATATACACAGGAGCTTCACAGAAAAGAAGTGAAAACCCAAAGAAGCAGTTAGGTGGGGTAAGGAGGCAATCAAAGATAGATCCCTGATGATACCCTAGCTTGCCTGGGAAAAGGAGCCTATGACAGATTTAGAAAGAATGACTAGAGAGGTAGAAAAAGTATAGAAGAGTGTAGGGTCGCAGATACTGTGTAAAGAGGGCGTTTCAAAAAGGAGGGAATTATTAGCAGTATCAAATGCTGCAGCTAAGGACTGAAAAATATTTACTGAATTTGGCAGCAGGGTCACTGATCCTGGTAAGAATGGTTTCAGTGGAGTAGGGAGGTTGGGAGAGGTAGGATAACAATAGATTGAGGAGGCACTATAAGTGGAGAGAGGCAGAGGACAGCTTTTGGAAAAGCTTGGGTATAAAGGAGAAAAAAGAATGGAAGTTATAGGGTATGGGTTCTTAAACTGGTATTTATAGACCCTACTTTTCCACAATATTAAATGTGCATCGTGTGTCTATGTAGTTGTGAGAGAGGCCTTGAAGCTTTCATCAGCTTTTCAAAAGTTTATAACCCAAAAGAACCACTTTTATCAGGGGACCTGTAGTTGAGTGATTTGGGCATATTTATAAACTTGTGGGAAAGGAGCCAGTAAAGCAGGAGAAGCTAGAGAGTAGGAATAGAGTTCAGGAGGACTGTAGTCCCTCTGGTGGTAAAAGGAGATGAGATCCAGAGCATTTGGTAGGGGGACTAGTTTAGATAAGAAACGAGAAATGAGTGTAGATGCACATAATTTCTAGGTGAATTGTAGGAAACTGAAGTAGCTCTCTGCTCACAATCTTTTATTTTCTCTGTTATGTAGGAGGTGGAATGGGGTCCACCAAAAATGAGTGAAGAGAGGCGGAGTATGATGTTTGAGGAAGGTGGAGAAAGTTTGAAATAGCCATAGTGAGGAGTGGGAGAGAGGGAAATCTAGGGAAAGATTTTTGGATTGTGTTGAGGTACTTGTGATAGATTATTACTAGTGAAACCAAATTGAAGACAATGTAGCTTTTTTCCTCCTCTAGCAATCTGCAGAGGGAGAAGAAAAAGCATGAAAATGGATGGAGCTATGGTTTTAGGGGTCTTGCCCGGCAGTTGCACTTGGGAGGATAAGAGGGACAAAAAAAATGAGGGGAATTATTGCAGTTGAGACAGAGAGGGAGGAAAGATCGGCATGTATAGAAAGTAATGAGTTTGAGAAATTGGAGCTCTCACAGGTGAAAGAACAGTGGGAAGATTGGAGTAAGCGGGAAAGCTGTAAAGATAGAAGTTAGAGCACATTTGTAGGATTAGGAACAGGGTTCTCATCGTAGATTTTTTTGTGTTTTTGAATCAAGATTACCAGTTGTGTTTTAAAAAACCCTGCACAGATGTCCTAGTCTTATTCTGAATCAACTGAATCAGAATCTCTAGGGAGCTGGGCCCAGAAATCTTTATTTTAAAAGTTCCATATGCGACTTAAAGAAATTAAAAAAAAATTGCATATAGAAAAATTTGTTCTCTTTGGTGCACAGGTCTGTGAGTTGTGACAAATGCGTAGTGACGCCCTTTAATAGAGCAGATAGGAGGAACAGGTTTGGTGAAGATGTTTGTTTTTGAACACCATCTAATTTCTTGTTATATTAAAGCTGCAGCCATGGAGCTGAGATTATTACACTGAATTAATATTTTTCTCCATCACTTTCTTCAGTGTAGATTAGGATGGACACACTTTTTCTGTAGAGTCAGATAGTAAATACTTAATGTGAGCCACATGTGGCCTCTGTTGCATATTTTCTTTTTTTGCATGTGTTTGTGTTTTCCAACCATTTAAAAATATAAAAACCATTCTTTGCACTGTACAAAAACAGGCAAAGGGTCATAGTTTGCTGACCCCTGGTAGGTAATCAATACAACAATAAATCAAGCTCTGATTTGTAGTGTTTCCCGATTTCTAAGTGTAAATAATCCCACTGTGGCTGACTTCAAGCTACCAATGTGACATACTGAATGCAGAGCTTGAAAGAGATGCGGTAGCACAAAGTATTTCTATGTAAACACAGTAGATGTAAATAACTTAAAAGGCATAGATAGTAAAATGAAATATAGTAAAACTTAATGAAGTGATAAATCTTGAGTTTTTATTACCTTTATTTTTAATATAATTTATTTAATTGTGCATTTATATAATTTAATTTTTAACAGTGACTATGTATAACAGTGGCTTGCAAAATTCCTGAAAATGTAACAATCAACTCTTGCTAGCCTATATAAGTTAGTTTTAACATTGTCATTGAACATAACGCTTAGAGAGGTGAGCTAATTTACCAAATCTGGTTTAAGTGACAGCACCAGAATAAACTCTTTAAGTTTCTTTTAATTTAATTTATTTATTTTTCATCACAGCAATACAAGCTCATAGCTTAAAAAGTCAAAAGGTACTTCAAGGTTTATATATAGAAAACCCCAGCAGTTCCCTGCTCTACCCTCTTCAGTACCCAATTTCTAATCTAGAAAGAGGCAACACTTAAGTCTTTTAGCTTTTTTTCCTGGTTTTTACCTTCCTATTTTTCATAATATGCTGGTAGTACTATTTAATTTTTTTCACTTTTTGATATTATTCTAAGGAAGTTGGGGATTTAGTTCTCTTACGCCATATACACTCTTTTCCTTTACCCATTTTTCCAATATATTTATATAATTATAGTTGTTTCTTAAATTCTCTTTTAGTATTTACACAATTATGACTATGTAAATAGTGTTCACAGACAAGCCATTAGTATATGACTATATCTCCTTTCTTACATAATTTTTTTGAATTAATTATCACCTTAGTTTTTAAAAATTTGCCTGATTTTTTTTTAATGTACTTGTGACAGTATTATCCCATACTCTTTGACAGAATTATAAAACTCAATATGGTTAAACATCAGATAAGCTATCGTTTCCATTTTGTTTTTTCTTTCAACATACCCCCTGTCACCCTTTATTCTTTCTTTCTTTTTTTTTTTTTTAATTGGGGAATTGGGGGATGGGAACAATGCTGGGGAATTGGGAGGAGGGGAACAGACAAGTTGCTGTCCTTTGGTTCTTCAGTCTAGTTGTGGGGGGCATTGCTTCACTGGCCCAAGTTGGCA